ATTTCATGCATGAAGAATAGCTTGTGTGAATGTACACAAGGACAGGACTAGGGAAGGGAATAAGTATTTATATAGCACATACTATTTACTACTGTATACTGTGCTAAGTATCACTCTGCTGCTGCTATTATTCCCATTTTAGAGTTGAAAAAACTGAGGCAAATAACAAAGATTAAGTCCTTTACCCAAGGTCACATAGCTAAGAAGTGTCTGAGACCAGATTTGAACTCCAGTACTTCCTAACTCCAAGCCCAGCATGCTATCCACTGCTCTACCTAGCTGCCTACTTTCCTATAGATTGAAAACTTACAAAAGCATTAGAGACCACAGTGGAGGGAGTTGTGGGCAGGTAGTGGTCAGTGTAAGGGTTGTCTAACCTGTAGATTAGAAAGATTTATTTGGAATCTATTTGAAAGATACTTTGGAAAGAAGAGAGCCTGGGGAAAATGAGGCCAGTTAGGTGGAACATAGAGAATGTGATGTAAATGAATGTGAAATAAGGATGGGAAAGTAGAATGGATCCAGATTGGAAAGAGGCTGAGGAGCAAAGGGAGGAAAGGGTATCAGGAAGGAAAGGGTGGTCTGTGGGGTCCAATGCTTTAGAAAGGACAAAGAGATTGAGGACGGAGAGTAAGTATTAGATCTAGCAAGTGTGTAGTCACTAGTGAAATCAGTTCCAGTAGAATGGTGGGGAAAGGAGCCAAACTGCAAGGGGTTGAGGGATGAATGAACAGTGAGGAAGCAGATGCAGTGATTATAGAGTTGTTTTCTAGTTTAGTTGCTTTCATCCAAATGTCAAATCCACAGAGCAAGTATTATTATTCTCATTTTAAAGATGAAGAAATTCGGTTTGACCCATAAAAATGTCTAGTAAGTACCAGAGCCAGCACTGGAAGCCAAGTCTAGTACTAGGCACAGTCCCCAAACAATACAAAGGAGAGGAACTGAAGTAACTCCCAAACTTCCAATATTTATGTTGAATACATTGTTAGATGTTCCCGGCTTCCTGAGGCAATCCAGATCTGGGAAGATGGGATAATCATTGGATACATCATAGATCAAGAGCTGGAAAGGACCTCAGAGGCCAACTAATCCAAATGTCCCGGTTCTCTCATTTTGTAAATATGTAAACCAAGGCCCAAAGGGCTAAGTGATAGTATTCTCTAAGTTGCCTATGTAGCTGCAAGGAACTACTCTAACACAATCATTTAACTAAGATATTGATGAGCCTTTTTTTTAGAGTTCCTTTCTGAGTGTTGTATTTTAAGTTTTATTGATGCCTTTTGTTTTTTGCACCACAGACATTTCCTAGCATCTCCACCCAGCACCATTACCCCCACTTCTACCACTCCCTTCCAAAGAACCCTCCCTTGTAAAAAAAAAATAACACAATTGAGCAAAACCAAGGGATACAGCCATCCTGCCAGCCAATATGTGCATGGTTCTGTATCCATAGTCCACTCCTCATTCCCCTTTTCCTTTTCTTCGACTACTGAAAAGAGAAAGTTGTGTTTCATCATCTGTCCTTTGGAACCAATATTGGTCATTACTTTTCATGTGAGGTAAGTCATATTTCGTAGTGTTTTCATTTATATCCAATTAAATTCACTCTCAGTGAGCAGTAAGCATCTTCAAAACTCAGGAACAAGACCCAAACAGATTTTAAAATGTAATTGGAAAATATTTAGCAAAGTAAATAAAAATACAATTTGTGGCTGTCCTAGTCAATATGCATCCAACAGGGGCCCACTTTTCTTTGGGCTTGACACCACTGATTTACATTATTGTAGCTGTCATGCATATTGTTCTCCTATTCCTGCTTTCTTCACTTGGCATCAGTTCATACAAGTCTTCTCATGTTTCTCTGAATTACTCATGTTTGTTCCTATAAAAAAAGGACGTCCTTTGAGTCAGGGAAAAGATAAGAATTAGTGCCCTCATTTTCAAATATTGAATAGAGAGAAAAATTATATTTTGGTTAAATCTGCACTTCATATCACTAATATCACTTTCACAGTCCTTCAAGATTCCCTTCATTTTTTGTAGAAAAGCTCAGATTACCTCGAAGTAGTCCTACTTCCTTTAAAAAAATAATTTTTATTGATATCCTTTGTTTTTACTACATCATACCTCTGCCATCGATGCAAGTGTGCCTATCTACCCACATTCCCTCCAATATTGACTATTCCCATCTTTTGTCACTTGTGACAATTTTCTAGATATAAAATGAAATTTGAGAATTATTTTGATTTCCATTTTTCTTATTGTGAGTGATTTGGAGCATCTTTTCTCATGGTTGTTAACAGTTTGAAATTCTTATTTTGAGAACTGTTTGTTTAAATCCTTTGACTACCAGGGAAAGCTTTTTGGAAATCTATCTATCTCTATCTCTATAACTATATAATCTACATTTATGTCTAAGTGGGTCTACATCTCTATCTCTATCTCCATAACTATATCATCTATGTCTATGTCTATGTATATCTGCATACAACATAGAATTAATGCGTTTAGGAGAAGGAAACTAGACAAACAACAACAATAAAAGAAAAGATCTTTGTATCGAATATCTTAGACAAGGGTTTTGTATTCATAATATATACATGTGTGTATGTGTGTGTATGTGTGTATGTATGTATGTGTGAGAGAGACAGACAGACACAGAGAGAGTATGCATCATATCCCAAAAGTCTTAATGTACCTTTAAGCTTCAATAGCTCAACATTCACTAAGACTTTTGGAACACTCAAACTCTTACCTAAAAAATTTGATACAAAGATTTTTTTTCCATTTTACTGTTTCCTTCTCCTAGATGCATTAATTTTGTCTCTATAAAAGCTTTTAAATTTCATGTATTCAAAAATGTTTTGTTTTTATAATTGTATCTGTCTCTTGATAGTTAAGTAGACATGCTGTTTTTATAGCTGTGAAAGGCATATGATCTGCTTCTCTGGTTTTTTTATGGTATGAGCTTAAACATTCAGGAAAGATATCCATTTTGAATTTATAGTAGAATATCATATAAAATGCTGATCTAAGCCTAACTTCTTCCAGACTGCTTGCTAATTTTCCTATCAGTTCTTATCAAAGAAGGAGTTCTTTCCTAAGGAATTTATGTTCTCTGGTTTATCAAACACAGGAGTATTGAGTCCCGTTATTTCTGATTCTCTTTTGTTTAGTCTTTTCCATTGAGCTACTTCTCCATTTTTGAACTAGTACCAAATAGTTTTGATGACCACTGTTTTATGACATATTTTGAGGTCTGAAAGTGTCATTCCTCATTTATCTCTATCCTTTTTTCAGTATTTGCCTTAATATTCTAGTTTTATTGCTTTAAATGAATTTTGTTATTATTTTATCAAGTTCTGTAAATTTATCCTTTGATAATTTTATTGGCATAGCATTAAAACTATAAACTAGCTTTGGTAGTGTTATCATTTTTATTATACTGGCATGGTTCGAGCTTTCCATTTAGTATTTGTTATTCTTTATTTCTTTAAGGAACACTTTTAAATTGAATCTATGCAACTATTTCATACGCTTTGGTAGACCAATTCCTAAATATCTGATTCATTTTATAATTATTTGAATGGGATTTCCCTTTCCATTATTGCCTCTTGAAATTTGTTATTATTATTCATGTTCTTGTTCTTGTTCTGACGAGTTTCTTTTGTTCTTATTCTTATGAATTTCTTTTGTAGCCTGCAACAGTTGCTCAAGCTATTATCTTTGCTGATTTCCTAGGATTTTCTAAGTAAACCATTATGTCCAAAGAAAATAAGGAGAGTTTTATCTCCTCTTTGCCTATCTTTATATTTGTAATTTCTTTCTCTTATCTTAATTGCTAGCACTTCTATAACTATATTAAATAATAGCAGGGACAGTGGACATCCTTGTGTTACTCCTACATTTATTGGGTAAGCTTCTAATGTACGCCTGTTGCCTATCATGCTTCCTTTTGGTTTTAGATAGATATACTTTGTGATATGAAAATATCTCTCTATGCCTTTATTTTATAAAGTGTTTAGCATAAATAACTGTTGAACTTTGTCAAAGGCTTTTTCTTTATCCTCTGAGAGGATCATGTGGCTTTATATGTTTTTGTTTTTAATGTGATTAATTACATTGATTGTTTTCCTAGTGTTGAACTATCCTTGCATCTTGGTATAAATCCAACTTGGTCATAATGAATGATGTCTTGGATGAATTGCGGTCATCTGTTGAAAAGGATTTTGTTTTCTCCCACTTCCTTTAAATAAAGAAGGAAAGAAAGAGAGAAACATAGAGCTAAAGCTGAAAGGGATATGAGAAGTCATATAATTTAACACCTTTATTTTATATATGAGGAAATTGAAAGGAGGTTAAGTGACTTGTCCAAGGTCACACAGTTAATAAATGAAAATATTAGGATTTGAACCCAGGTGCTCTGACTATAGATCCATTGTTGTTTCCACTGTATTATGTACACCCTCCTTTTTCATTTTGCATTTGCAGCATCTTTTTGGGGGGTGAAGGACAATTTGGTGTCTCAACTTCCAAAACCCCAAATCTTCCAGAGCTTAATGTAATTGGGGATGATGGTTTTTCCTGACTCAAAATTAATGGCTTCCGTAGATTGGGAGGGAGGAGTTATTGCCCATAACAAAGGCAAGCCAGGTCAAAGAGACTATTCCTCAGGACAATCACTTTTCACCTGAGCTTTGAGTTCATCCTTTAATATAATTCTTACTGGGCAACTGACAACAGATGGTAGCCTGAGGTACTGACTATTCCACTGACAGCAAGGAAGCACTGGCCTGACCAACCCAATTAGTAAACCCCAGCTTAGATAGTGGGACAGTAGAAAACACTGAACATCTTGTTTTCTAAATAAATATATAAATAATAGTGAATATAGAGTGAATGATGGGTGGGTGGGAAGTGGGGGTGGAGGGAGTGGCAAGATAGACTTGATCTGGTTTTGCACAGACCACAGCTTTTTCCTTGGTTTGGTCTTTCAGGAAAAGGTTGAAACGTGGAGATTGTCTTCATGCATCATGTTGTATACTTGAGCTTATTAGCCCCAAAGAAGAAAGGGCCTCTTCGCCAGGTTCCAGAGGTATTGGACAGTGTTCTCCAAGAGCATGAAAGGACCTACAAGGTTTTTTATATGGAGCAGCACACGAGATAATGTTTCAAATCAAGTTGAATTCCAGAAACTGCAAAAGTCACTGGGCTCGAGGCAAACCACTTAACCAAGGGGAAATAAGGTTTGTTTCTTGCTTTGGCTGAATTCTTTCTATACAGTGAGACCTCACTCATTTAAAATGAAGGGGTTCGGGAAAAAAAAGAGTTTGTATAAGTAAAGTTTGCATTCTCATTTTTGGTTTGTTTTTTTTTTAAAGAATAGTAGGGCAGCTAGTTATTTCAGCAAAGTTGCTTGGGAAAATATGTAATTTTAACTGCACAGAATAAGGATTTGCTGTAATTCTTTTGGAAAGTCATCATCAGTACTGTATTTATAAGAAATAACATATTGGCAGAAATGGAGAAAAGATCCCCAGAAAAGGTGGTAGTGGCCTGTTGTTGTTCTTTTTTTCCCTTTCTTTTCTTCAGATCCAAAACTAAGTGTTTAAGTATCTGTTTTAATATTGTTCTGTAAAAATGTCTTGTGACACTTCTTTTGAGAGGAAGAGGTGAAGTTATGCATGTGGGCAAAGTCGATTCAGGAGTAGAAAGCTTAAAATGAGAAAGTCTCCTCAGTCTCTCAGTGAAGTTGGCACAGACATTTTAGATATCGTCAACAGATGGTGTATGGTATTTATGAACACAGTTGTTGAATGCTTTACAGAGTGACTCATAAACTGATAGCTGTTTATTGAAGGGAACTGTATGGTATTATCTTGTTTTAAATGTTGCTTTATTGTAGAGAGGGTAGAAATTCTTAACTAACCTTATTTCTGTTTCCCTACTTGGTTTCCCTGCAAGCAAGAGCAATCTTTTGTAAAAGTATTTACTGCATCTAATTACATACTCTCATTCACCTCTGCACACAGTGCCACTTTGTTTCACCAAGAAAATGAAAGGCAAATACAAATTGTTAAGATAGATGGCTTTTGGTTTCTTTTAGCCTCGGCTATTTCGTATGTAAGAAGTGGGTATGCACATACATGCACATGTCTTAGTCTGAGATATGAGCCTCCAAGTAATGTTGAGAAAGAGTAAAACAGAGTGTTTGTAGATGTTTTGGCTTTTGTTCAGAAATGTTGGTTGAGTATGGGAGGCTTTGGGAAGAACTTATTGGTCTTCATGGGCTTTTGATAATGTTTTGAAAGAAAAATATGAGTCTTAAGTAGACAACAGATATGTCAAAAGGGTATTTCACAACTACAGTTAATTTGTTTGTCAGCAAACTATGTCCCAGTGGTGGCAGAACTGGAATTCAAGTCCACAGCTGGTTGGAATCATGGAGCTTGCCCAGGAGCCTAGGGGGACTTGGGGGTAGCATTATGAAATATTTCCATAAAGAGTAACTGGCATTGGAATCATATTAGGGTTATGGTGTGTTTGCGATTTTCTCTTTCTTTCCATTGTTAACTTTGATTGCTGATATCCTACCAGGATTTAGATTGTTTACAGTATTTATGCATGTGTGTGTGTGTGTGTGTGTGATGATGATGATGATGATGAATATGAAAGAGTGTACAATGACCTCTTCTGTAGGTCCATAGGATCATAGATTCCCAGCTAGAAAAGACTTAAGAGGCCAAGTCCAATCTCGACATTTTACAGAGACTAAAGTCCCAAGTGAAGTGATTTGTACAAGGTCACACCACTAGTGACAGAGCTGATACTCCTGTAGATCCCTATTTTTTTTTATTCCAGGCACAGTGATCCTTTTATATTGCCATTTGCCCCTCTATAATAAGTCATTTTATAAGAATTTTTTTGGACATTGAGTTCAACAAATATTTCTTAAATGTCTATACTATGTGTCAAGTACTGTGACTTTAAGGCAGAAAAACAAAGCAAAACAAAACAATACCAGCCCTCAAAAAAAACTTATTCTATTTGTACTTCTGTTCAATATGTACAAGTAAATAAATCCAAAGCTATACAAAATCATTTTAGTGGGGAGGAAGTGCTAATAAATGAGAATAATGTCAGGTAACATGCTGCCTCCATTTTTATTTCCCCAATAGATTTTAGAAGGAATATTAAATTCCTAAGTTTTTCATAATAATATGGATGGAACACTGGAAAGGGTCAGAAAGACCTCTTGCCTCTAACAAAAGCCAGGTGACCCAGAGAAGTCCCCTAAACACTCTGAGTCTCAGTTTCCTTGTCTGTAAGATGGAAATAATAAAAATAGCATCTGTCTCATAATCTTGAGTGAGGATCAAGTAAGTTAATGTTTGCAAAGAACTGTGCAAACCTTAAGTTCCTATGTAAATTTCAGTTCAGGCCAGGCTTAGGAATTTCATTGAAATAGGGAACTCCAGATGAGAAAATTCCCTCTATCAGTGTAGATTCACATCTTCTGTGCAATTTATAGTCCTAGAGAGTTGTCTGGACTGCTGAGAGGTTTAATGACTTTCCAGAGTTCAGACTACTGGTCAGTTAATATTATTATTGCTGTTGCTATTGTTGTTACACTTTAAATTTTTCAAAGCTTTAAAAATCTTATCTCATGTGAGCCTTACTACAATTCCATGTACTGTCTACCCAGAGCTACTCATTAGAAAAATGTCTCTTCCCCAAGGATGGTGTTAAGATTTAATGACTGTGCTGCCCTTTTAGCCACAGAAAGGACAGCTGCTATATGTGTATAAAGTCAGACTGTTATTTTTCGGAAGTTTTTGTTAGCAAGAAATGTGTAAAGGCTAAATGAATAGGAAGATGGGGGCTTTGCAATAACCTTCTGCAACCCCTTCCCTTGTGTCTCCCCATATCCCCAAAGAAACTCTGTTAGCCTTCTAAGAGTCATAGAATCTTCTGAGCTTAAACATCCCTTTATGTTCTTAATTCTGCTTTGCAGTTTGATATGGTGGAGACAAGGCCAACCTCAGATCAAGTCCTATTTCTGGTCGAGTGTTCTTCAGTGACCTGGCACCATAGTGCACAGAGGGCTGGGCCTGAGGTCAGGAAAACCTGAGTACAATGCCACCTGCCTCAGGTGCTTAATAACTATGTGACCTGGGCAAGTCACTCAACCTCTATTTAGTATAGTTTCCCCAACTGTAAAATGGGGATGATAATAGCACTTCCCTCCCAGGGTTGTTATAAGCATCCAATGAGATATTTATACAGTGCTTAGCACAATTCCTGAGACATAGTAGGCACTTAATAAATATTTGTTTTCTTCCTTATTTCTTTTTTTAGTGTTCTGAGCAACTTTCTAAGACTCTAAGTTGCAGATCAGGTACCTACTTTTATTAGAGAGTAGAGAGAGTTTCTTACAATAATGAAATTATAGTATATTATATGTAATATAATATTGTATATTATATGTAATATATTATTTTATTATATGTAATATATTATATTATATTATATGTAATATGTTGTTGTATATTATATGTAATATAATATTGTGTATTACATTATATGTAATATATTATCTTATATTATATGTGATACGTCATTGTATACTATATTAATATGTTGTGTGTTATGTGTAATATATTATTGTATATTATATGTAATATTATATTATATTGTATTACTATATAAAATAGTGAAAGAAATATATGGAACTAAGAACTTGGAGCCCTGGGTTCTAGTCCTGGCTCTGCCATTAACTGTCCAACCTCTGTACCATTACTTTCTTACATGCACACGAGAGCGCTAGGCTAGGAGCAGATGCACTCCAAGGCCCCTTCCAAATGTGAAGTTCTGTGAGTATGAACAAATAGATGTCCCCCAAGGTCTTGAAGCCCACTCAGGGTCATACACAGTCTAGTAGGCTCTGTGGAGTCATTTGTGGACAGACACAAAGAATCAGACCTGGTTGGGGCGTGGTGCACTGGGGGTGTTAAGGTCAACTAAGAGAGAAATCTGGCAGAAAGCACAAAAAACTGAACAAAGGAAAGAACTTTGGACTATAGCAGATGATGCCGGTATTGACATGGTACTTTATCATTTCCAAAGTGCTTTATATGCTTTGTCTTACTGTATTCTCACAACAACCCTGTGAGATAGGCAGCGCTTACATCACTGGGTTTTCAGAACATTACTGCCACTTAATACAGCTAGGAAGTGTCAGCACTGGAAATGAAATTTCAGCCTCCTGACTCTAATTCCAATGTTCCTTCCACTCAAGCAAACTTCCTCCCTGATAGAGAATATGGAAAAAGATGTCTACATAGTCTGCCTAATTATGGTTCATTAAGCAGTCCTGAAAGGCATCATCTCACCCTCTCCCTTGTGACACACATATTGGTGTGTACCTTTCTACTCTCCTCCCCTTACTGGGTTATAATGTCTCTAGAGCAGCAGAGATTTAAAGCACCTTACGAGCCATCTAGTCCAATCCTTTCATTTTATAGATGGGAAAACTGAGGCCCAGAGAAGTAAGCAAACTTGCTAAAGTCTTGCAGATAGGAGCCCAGATTCAATTCCAGGTTCTCCAGCCCCAAATTCAGCACTCTCGGGAACTGAGACCATGTTGTTTCTCATTTTTGTATGGCAAGTACTTAGTCCAGTGTCTTGCACACTGTAGGTATTTAATAAATGCTTGTTGAATTGAATCAAATTAAAATTAGGAGGAAATGGAAGTAGAGGGTCAAAGTGTGGGAGGCAGCCTGCTCTGCCCTTAAGAACCTTGCTGACAAATCAAGAAGTCAACACCAATGGATTCTTACAGAAGTTTCTTTCTCTTTACATTAATGTCCTACCCCCACCTCTCACCCTCAGCTCAAGACCCCTAAGGCACTGGGATTCCTCGAATTTTTATGAATAATCCTAGACATGCTAGCAATGAATTTCAGACAAAATCTGTATTCCCTATTCCCCAAAAATACACGAACTATTCACCCAAAAGGCACTCTAAATGGTCTTAGTTTAAACGTGTAAGAGGCATCAAGTTAAGTACTGTCCAACATCTAGTCTCTTTGTCTAGGTGTGTTTATATTTCAGTAGCTGGTTATAGGTTTTAAAAAGTGGCAGTACCTGCATATTAGTATAATTATCTTCTTTTTTAAAGCAGAACTTGTCTCTTCTTGGGGAAATGGGGGGATGGATGAGGGCAGAATCCATAGGTTCAGTGGTG